TATGCCATCGTCGGCGCAGCAGCATCTCTTGCTGGAGTAACCCGCTTGACCGTCTCTATTGTCGTCATCATGTTCGAGCTCACGGGTGCCCTCACCTATGTTCTCCCCATCATGATCGCTGTCATGATATCAAAGTGGGTGGGCGATGCTTTCTCTCGTCGCGGTATCTACGAATCGTGGATTCACTTCAACGAGTATCCCTTTCTCGACAATAGTGAGAACAACGAATCTATTCCTGACATCCCAGCTTCTCAAGTCATGACTCGCATCGAGGATCTTGTAGTTCTTACCGCCACAGGTCACACCATCGCATCTCTCACCACTATCCTCGAGATGCACCCATACCGCGGTTTCCCTGTCATATCAGATCCCCGAGAAGCCATTCTTCTTGGATATATCTCTCGTGCCGAGCTGGCATACAATCTCTCAGCCTCGACGCAAGCACCTCGTTTGCTGCCCCCTGAGACTGAAGCCTTCTTTTCTCACCAGCCCATGGCAGATCCACGCACAACACTGGATCTTCGCCCCTGGATGGACCAAACACCGCTCACCCGGGCTTCGCATACAAGTCTTCACCTTGTCGCTACATATTTCCAAAAGCTTGGCCTGAGATATCTTCTCTTCAGCGATCGCGGTGTTCTGCAGGGCTTGCTGACAAAGAAGGACGTCTGGTATGTCCTCAATGGTGCCGAAGAGACACGCCGCACCATGGGTCTGGCACCTGGAGGTGCTGGTCATGAGACTGGCGTGACCGACAGGATAGCAGACGACAATGGCGGCGGTGAAAGTAGTGGCTTATTACATGGCGACGGTGCCGATGATGGTGATAGCATACAAGGGGAAGAACCAATGTTATAAAGGGATCCTGTAGATTTGATGCCGGGTCATGCATGTATGATGGATCGTGGGTATATTAAATTTTCTCTATCATATAGACGAGTTTGCTTTTGCTATTCTTGGTAGGCTATCAATGTATATGAACGTACACTTCAACGCTTCGTACAAATTTATCCTGACAAAGTACTTCACATCTCAGTTTCCGGAACAACCTCTTATCGAGCGCTCTCATGTGCTTCGGGCTTTGTTACAAGATGTGCCCCCCATCTTGTAAAATCATAGCCAAGGGGAGACAAAAAAGGACAATATTATAGGAAACTAATAAGAATAGTGAGGTATACTTATTTTAGGCTTAGTACATCTTGAAATAACTTGTATCTGAGCTTTGTGTCAGATGTTTTCCGTAAAGCATGACAGACATTGATTCAGCTCGCCAGAAGTACTCCCTTATTGGTAACCAAAAACTGCACACCAGGACACAAGACGCTAGATTCAGACCTGAGGATTTGTCATAAGATCACTTGAATTATCATGAAGTAATGGTCAGGTCGAAATAACCCCTACTTTTTCTTTCAACGTGCAACTCCCATGCTTGCCTGATATAGTATGAAACCAACGCCTGAGTAGCAACATACCAGCCAATGCATAAACCTCTCCTGAGAAAGCCAAAGAGAACAACACTGATTCTAGTACTCAAAGTCATCATCAACAGAGGGACCCTTGTTCTTTGTCACGCTCTCCTGTTTGCGATACATTTCAGCAACCTGGCGACTTGTCGTAGCAGCATCAGCTTTCTTATCATCTCGCACACGGATGAAGCGAGGGAATCGAAGACTGATGCCCTTGTTTCCTGAAGGGTCGACACCTTCCTTAGCACCGGCCTTGTAACGTGGACTGAGGGTCAAATCGGCTGTCTTGACTTCCCAGACATACCGAGGCTCAAACCAGACATCAGGTTGGTGTTGACCGCCAGAAGAGTGGGAGTAAAAAGGCTTAGCCCTATCAATGGTAATCTCAGAGAGTTGGGTATGGAGATCCTCCAAGACCTGCTCTGAGAAGCCAGTTCCAATATTACAAACAGTTTCGTATGTCTCTGAGTTGGGGTTGTAACAGGCCAGAAGGAATGCACCGTAAACAGATGTACGCTTGCCTTTGCCGTAGTATGCGCCCAAAACAACAAGGTCCAGGGAATCACCGACGCCTGAGAGATAATCCTTCTTGATCTATGATAGCAGTCAGTCGTACGGCTTCTAGTAATGCAGTTCTGAAATCTTACCTTGAGCCAGTTACGACTTCGCTTACTGGGCTCATATCCACTCTCAGTTCCATCCAGCATTTTTACCATCAGACCCTCACATGATGCCTTGACACTTTCGTCAAGGAAGACCTGGATCTCATCCAGTTCTTGGCCGTTCATGTGGGTGGCGAAGGAAAATTCGCCTTCCACAGGATTAAACGCGGTTTCGAGAAGCTCACGTCGTTCACGCAGTGCCTTCTCGACAACAGCTTCTCCATTGAGGTACAACAGATCAAATGCAAATACACAAACCTTGACCTTTACATCCTCAACCTTGACATCCTTCTTCTTGCGTGTCATGAGTTGCTGGAAGGGCAACACTTTCTTCTCGTCGACATCCCAGGCTACTGTCTCACAATCCAGGACAAAGCTCTTGGTGTCCGGCTTGACCCAGGTATGGAGTTTGGCAAGGATATCGGGATACTTCCGGGAGAGATCTTCGGAGTTTCTGGAGAAGATGCTAGCAACACCAGCAGCAGCCTCCTTAGCGGCGCCTTGACTCGCCTCGCTTAGTTCTTGAGGCGCATCTTTGGCCACATAATGGATCTGTGCTCTTTCGCCATCATACTTATACTCACAGGTGAAGGTTTGTCCCTCAAAGCGATCGAGTACTTCAGTAATGGCCTTCGTCGGCTTGGCCAGCATAGGCTTCAAAGGTACGCCGGGTCGGAGCTTGCAATTTTCCCTAAGCTTCATGATCCCGTGTTCTAGCATCGCAGGAATAATCACGTCGTAGCTCGGAAGTTCACTGTATTTTGTAAGTATGGGTCATCGACAGTGTTTCATGTGGCTTACCTGTAGACAGTCTTGAGAATTGATTCACCTTTCTCAAGATCTGAGGTGCTAGGGACCTTACCCCTGGCATCAGCTTCGTGGGCAACAATAGCTTGCGCCAAAGAAACAAGAACGGTTCTCTCAGCCAGACCAAGTCTCAACTTTCCTTCCAGGAATCGAATGATAAACTTGGCTTCACTCGGACCTCCCTTGTCCTTAGTAATATCGACTTTACCGGTGGAGTTAGCGTCAGCTGCAGCAAGAAGCTTCTTGATACCATCCACCTTGCGCCCCTGAGCACCGTTACCAGTGACAGTAGCAATGTTCATTAGGCCTTGATGCACACCCCTGATAGTCAAAGCCTTTGGCTTGAACATAGTACGCTGAGTTGATCGACTCTTTACAGCCACCAATCCAAGATCGCCAATTTCTTTCTGATCAGCCTTAATCACCTGGAGGCTTCGTCCCGTCGTCTCGCCGATGGCCTTCATAATTAACGACTCGCCGATACCCAGCTCGATACCAGCGTAGTCAGGAGCTAACTTGTTGATCATTAATAAAACTGTAGGTAATAGATCTTCAGGGGTCAGGCGCATGACCTGGCGAAGGAAAAGAGAGCAATGCTCCATAATAATCAATCTTTTGGTGGTCATTTCCACAAGAGAGAAGGTTGTACACAGGGCCGCATACGGAACAGGGGTGCCGGGCTTCCAGTCGGGATAGGGGTCTTTCGTCTTGGACTTGAACTTTGTCTGGACCTTCTCACGAGCCTTGGCAGCAACTTCAGGCTTATCTTCGATATCTGCCTCGTCGTCAAGCTCGGCGTCTGAAGCTGAAGCTGTTGATGCCTCTTCTTTGTCGGAATCGTCGTTCTCCTCAGGAGTGGCTTCTTTGGCCGCCTTGGCTTTGGGCGTTGTCTTTGACCTCTCGGGCGACTTGACTTTTGGGGGTGTGCTTGCGACATTTGACTTCTTGGGGGATGTACGCTTCTCTTTCTTCACAGTTTCTTCTTCATCATCTTCGTCTTCCTCAACTCGCTTTCGACTTCGTCGTGCTCGCTTAGTGACAGGTCCATCGCTCTCGTCATCGATTTCCTCTTTCTTAATGGGTGTAGGCTCGGGCTTGGGCTTGTCTTCTGATCTAGCTCGCTTCTTTGTTTCTGATCTATATTTAGATTATCGTAGGATTTCATCGAAGTAGCAAAATACCTTTCTCAGAATCTGAGCCCGGTTTGACCTTCACGTCAGCCTCCTCTTCGTCCTTCACGACTTCTTCTATTTTGGGTTTGCTGCTGAAGGAGAGCTTTGTCTGTTGAGGAGGCGCACCTTTTGCCCCAAAGAACTTCCTGTGGTTACCAATTGGCCTTGGTCAGTGATCGAGTCTTTAAATTTTAGTTGTCCCTCCACACACCCGATTGTGCTCTGGCCGGACTTGACATACCCGAGTGTCGCCTGTTTTGGTGCCATGATGCCTAGAATTCTTGTAGAAAACAAACGCACAGAACGCAAAGAGTAGCAATTTTCAGGGCGTGATATTAATCTGGAAGTGTTTTGTAGAAAGAGGGGGGCAATTGTGAGCCCGCGAGTTGACCTGACACTGAGTAGCATGACGCGCCCGCTAGGGAACCTGTCGCGTTAATTAGCTGCCATTCGCGAGGGTAGGTGCGACCAGAACGCGCGAGATGCCTGCCCCACGTGACTCGGTTGCCTAGTAAGGCAGGACGTGCACCCGGCTATTCCCATGTTAAGTAAGGCGTCGATCAAATTTATTAGCGCGCGTTAATTAATTGTTAGAGGGGCCCCCTGCAAGCTCTTGTTGTCTCGGGGGAGATAGGCCGAGATGGCTCGCCAAATATCATGATATTGGGTGATTTCTTTCGTCATTGACTTTAACTTTGAGAAAGACATTGATATAAAACCACTGTAGGACAAAGAGACATCCATGAGTAGCACGAAAAAAGCAATCCTGGGTCCTCGCCCTTCTCCATTTTCGGACCGTGCCAGGCCTCTTTCTAGATAGGTCATGGATGTATATTACAGCAAGCATCAAGTGCTCAAATCATTATGGTGGTACGGCCTCGCGCTCAATTCCTCTACTGGAAGTAGTGGTTCTCCTCGGGAATACGGCCGCGGATGTACTCGGGCTCGGATCCCCGAACGTAGATATCCTCAAACAGAATCTCGGGCTTGGGCTCAGGCGCGGCCATGGCCTCAGCAGCAGCAACCTCCTCGTTGACGTGGGCACGAGCTTCCTTGTCAATCTTCTTGAGCTCCTCCTCACTTGTGATCTCCCAATCTAGAATCTTCTGCTTGAGTCCAGCAATAGGATCGTTGGTGGATCGCATGCGCTGAATCTCCTCACGGGTTCGGTAGGTGGTACCGGGATCAGACATGGAGTGACCACCATATCGGTAGGTGACGTACTCAAGGACAAGAGGTCCCTTATCGGCAGCAGTCCACTCCTTGCCGTACTTGACGGCGGCCTTGACGGCAAGGACATCCATACCGTTGACCTTGAGACCGGGGATGTACTGTCCACGCTTATAGTAGTCGGTCAAAGCGGAAGAACGAGCAGCAGCTGTACCCATACCGTACTTGTTGTCTGTGGATTTGTCAGTAGTGCTCTGACTCGTTCTTATGATATTGACTTACTCTCGCAGCCAAAGAGGGCAGGGAGATTCCAGAGCTTGGCCATGTTGAAAGCCTCAAAGACCTGGCCCTGGTTGCTAGCACCGTCACCGTAGAGGATGATAGAAGCGTTCTTGTTTCCATTGTACTTGTGAGCAAAGGCAAGGCCGGCACCAACGGGAACCTGAGCACCGACGATACCGTTACCGCCGTAGAAGCTCTTGGCGAACATGTGCATGGAACCACCCTTGCCGTAGGAAATACCCTCACGTCGGCCAAGCAGCTCACCAATGATGGATCGAACGGTAGCACCACGCATCAAGGCGTAGCCGTGGCATCGGTAAGCGGTGATAATATCGTCCTCCTTGGTGATGGCATGCTCAATACCAACGGCAACGGCCTCCTGTCCGGTAGACAAGTGGCAGAAACCACGAATCTTCTTCTCCTTGTACAGACGATCGGCCGCCATCTCCATCTGTCTGCGGGATTATCAGTAAATGTCGTATTGAGATCGTGGGGAATGCTGTTGCATACCGGGTGATGACCATCTCACGGTACATATCCTTCAACTCCTTCTTGGTCACCTCCAGGGTGTAAGGAGGGGGGTCCAGCTCGTAGGTCTCGAAGCTCTCATCGCTGAGGTTAACAGAGAAAGGCTCGTCATCGGACTGCAGCAGTCGAAGAGTCAGTGATGGCTCGTGGGCGCATTGCGGAGGGCGAAGTGTCGGGCGAGGGTATTCCGAAGGACCCTTGCGGAACAGAAAGTGCGCATTTTCTCACCTTGGGGACTGAGTGGCTCAGGGACGCCGAAGCAGCATCAGTGGTGACAGAGCGAATGGCAGTGTAGGCGGGAGCGGCGAGCTTGGTGCGCATAGGCACAGCCCTGGGGAGACGGAGAGCTCTAGACAACATCGTGGATATGGAGAATTGAACTGAGGGATCAGGACGTTGTCGAGTTGATAACTGCGACTTGGCTGGATGGAGCTCAGAAAAAGTCGCTGTTGAGCGGCAGAGCGTTGAGCTTGGCCTCCAATTGTTGGTAGGTCTAGTCCTGAATAGGACTAGCAGTCACGTGATATGTACATGCTTGCGATCTCTTTAAATACCCTCAGACTGTCCAATTCAAGAGATCATCTTCTCCGAGGACATAACCATATCGACAAGGTCTGCTGAATATCTCAGGACGTCTTCCGATTATCAAAAGACCACCTCTTGACCATCTTTCCGCTCCATACAAGACCGTCTAAGTGACACACCACGTCGTCGGTGTAATTCTCGCCGATGTGGGGCTCTATCCACACCATCCCTTCTACCTCCGAGCCACGACAAGAGGTTTTGCTGGTGGAGGTCGGAAGTCCCTTGCTGAGGTACCCTCAGTCCCTGGAAATATTCGGGCTCAACGATTTGACCTCCCAGGGACGAAAAAATGGCCCATGATGGCAGTTTATCACTCATACCTAGCTCCGGGATGAAAAGACAAAGAATTGGCAGGTCTTATTGGTCGAACCCAACATTACTGGGCTAATCTCTAATCGTTCTATACACACGTTGTCGATGTAGTATTATGATGAAGATAACGATCAATGTCAAAAAACCAAAACGTTGACATCGACTTCTTATATAGTCCGAGCCGCCTTGAGATGCAACTCCGTATTCCATTTCCGTGGCTCCAGTTTCCCATAACCCCTTGATTCATGCTGTCATACTCCCATGCAAATTCGCATGTCATCCATCCATAACTAACATATTCTGTGAACTGGTGGTGATGCAGCAACGCCCAAAACATGCTTTCAAAAATCCTTGGCGCCTCTACAACAATTCGAAGAAAGAGTATAGTGCAATGCAGTGCGGATGACCGGATCCGTCTTCGATACTAAATGTTGATTCCACAAAATCGGGTGCGCTTGAAATGCTGGTGCTCGCCGATGTCATATCACTATGGTTGACGCAGGGCCATCATTGAGATCACCGAACTCCCAGCTCAGTCGTCATGAAAGAACGTACCGCCCTGCAATGGGGCAGTTGAAGGGCCAGCGTCGTTCATCTCGACATCCTGGGTTGAAGTGTCTCGGCTAGAACTGACCAAAGTCTGTTGTGAAGTGCGATAGTCGATAGCCATGGCACTCAGTGGGCGATTCGGGTCATCCTCCAGTACCCGCTGTTGAAGCGAGAGTGGTCGGTCATATAGCATATCTTCGGGTGGTGAGAACGACCACACCTACCAAAGTCAGTCTTGAGCCTTTTCAGCCTTCGTCCAATATCGACCTACCTCCATGACTGTACGGCCGTGTCTCAAGGCCAAAGCAACACACTTCTCATCTTCGAAGGCAACACGCCAGACAGCTTCACCTTGCGCGATGAGTTCACGGACGAGATGTCCAGTTTTGAGGTCCCAGATCTTAACTCGGCCATCACTGCCACCACTTACGACTCGGGTATCATCAAATTGCAGACTGGTGACGCTGTTGTCGTGAGCTGCGAGACGGTGGATCGGACACATTTCTTTCAGTGACCAAACCCTGACCGATCCATCTGATCCACCGGTAACTAAGGTGTCACCGCGCATCTGAAGCTGTCCAACGAGAGACGTGTGACCCTGGAGAATAGCTAGACACTCACTTCGAACTGTTAGTAGCTATTATCCGTAGTTTGAAGAGACACATACCCAGAAGTCGGATCCCAAATTCTCACGTTGGTATCCAGACTGCCCGTTACGACTCGCTTACCATCAAACGCAATGGCATAAATTTGACTAAAATGGCCCTGCAACGTTTGAAGACAACGGCCCTCGGAAATGCTCCAGACTCGAGCGAAAGTATCATAGCTACCGGATACGACAATGTCTCCCTTGATCTCGAGACACCGAACACTGGACTGGTGACCAACAAGAACATTTTTGCAAAGGCCGGTTCGGATATCCCAGATTCTTAGGGTTGTATCCCGGGATCCAGAAATCGCCGTGTTTGCATCTGCCATTTTCAAGCACCTCACTGTCGATGTGTGACCTCGCAAGGTGTGTAAACAGGCACTGTATCCTGTCAGCAAATGATCAAGAGTGATGGTGACTTTCAACTTACCCAGTCTTAAGATTCCATACTCTCACATCGCGATCGCAGCCTCCACTGACCAGAGTATCATCCCAAGGAACCATGGCCCAGACACCCATAACATGTCCCTGCAAGGTGCGTTGCGAGTCTCCCTCAGTATCGAACACATGAATCTTGGCATTATCAAGTGCCACAATGATGTACTTTGGCGTCAGATGCAGGCTCGTGACAACGCCCCCCTCTTGGGTAATATTCCGCGTTGTGCTGGTACCGCCAGATCGCCAAGCAGCTTCAACTAGATATCTCTGCTTGAAGTGAGACTTGTAAGTCCGTAACCTGGGTCGACCAGAGGTATTCGAGCCCTCGAACGACCGGGTCCCTGAGGTGTAGGAACAAGGGCGCGCGCCTGGGAAACTATTGCTGCTGGTCATGTCGGCATCGAGTCCATGCAAAGCCTGTACTGATGGTCTCGATGAGAAATTAGGTGCGCGTGTGTAGACCTCTGATAGTCGGCGGCCGTAGTCGTGTTTGACACAAAGATTCTTCCATGTCATGTCGTCGCTAAGGAGATCTCGCCATCGTTTGGAAACTTGCGAGGCTCGTGCTAAAACTTTTGGGTCATCGATGAAAGATAATACCTACACATGTGAGTAAGCCCACCGGATCCTAGGGAAAACAACAAAATAAGAATGGTCCTTACCCGAAGACACAGTTCGTCTGGCAGACTTGTAAATGGGTCCTTTTTCAATAAAGGGCTGACAAATTGGTGAACGAAACTCAATTGCTGGCTGGTACAGAGATTCAGCAGATCGGCGAGGACCCGAGTCCTCTGAGGACCAGAACAGTTTTTGAAGTGTTGCCGGACTTTGGCGAGAAAGAAGTCCTCATCATCAGCCGCATCACTCCAATCTGGTTGGAAATGCGAAGGTCCCGGAGACGCAGCGGGTGTGGGAGGCGGTGGAGGTGAGCCAGTGAGTTGTTGATCAAAGTCCGCGGCGGGTGTAGACATGCTGGGAGTAGGAGGTCCACGCAGGTGCCGTTGCTGCTGAGGCAGCTTTTCCAAGCGGTGGTTAACCATGGGGTTCGTCGTCGATGTGCCGAGGGTCAAGTCGTCACTGAGGGCGCTTCCTCGTCTTTCGGAAAAGCTCATGGGTCGTTGGTAGCCGGCCATGACCCGGGTCATCGCCCTCCAAGATGTCGATGTTTGTTGGAAGATAGACCTTGAAGCGGTTTGTGAGGAGGATCAACAACTTGATGGAGGTGGGCTACTTGAAGCGACAACGGCTGATATCGAGGGGAGGCCGGCGATGGATCGTGGGTGGGGAAAACAGAAAGCAAGCCGTACGAGGCCTCTGCCAACAATTCGAGGACGATGTCAGCACATGTAGAATAGGGAGTATCGCCTATAATCGCGCAAAAACTCGGTATAAGAATGTTGTGTTGGCTTCGAACAGAATTAGGTGCAGATATTGAAAAAAGGGAAAGGGTGCAGGAAGCAGGAAGCAGAAACCAACGGTGAATGGCGATAGTCACTAGAGGATGAGATAGTGGAGAGAGCCGACGGACAGGCGGTACGGTACCAGTACAGTACCTAAGTACCTAACACGTCCAGGGACGGGAACGCCTGTATTTGTTCTGGGATGGCAATCTTGGCTCGCAGAATGAGCCTGGGACTGGCTGATGACCTGGCGCGTGGGTCGGATGCAGGCCAAGGACGATGGCGGGATCGTAGAGGCGCTAAAGGGCATTCGTTGCAGTACAGACTTACAGTTCAGGGCCTCGTTGGAGCGATTCCCTTGCCTTTGCCTTTCCGCTTGGATGTCTTTTTTGACAATGCTTATGTCGGCTGTCGCCGTGACCGGCACAAGGATATCTCCTGAGTCGAGCTGGTAAGGCCGGGTATGGAAGTTTGTGTCGAGAAAAAGGTTTCAACGCACACAATGAGGGTGTGAGATTGTCTTACCGAGGATACGGGATGATATGTAGACTATAATGGGTTTGTCCGTCTTTGTAAGGCAAGACGAGATGACCGACTCGATTCTGAGGCGTCGAGGAAGTGAATCAATCTGATGACCAGATGCAGCAGATGGATGCAGAAGTGGAGGCGAGGCGAGGCGAGGCGAGACAAGACAAAGGAAGGAAAAGTTGGCTGAATAAGGGGTGATCGAACGAACTACCTTACCTACGTACGATAGGACGAAGTGGTTTTTCGAAGCCCAAGACGGTCTGTGAACGAAAACGGAAACTTGATCAAGTTTCGTTTCCTTTTGCTGGTGTCGTCAAAAAGGTTTTACAGTACAAGCAGCATCCATCCAATATCAGACGGAAGTAAGATAAGGAGAGAAGAACCCAGCACTTCAAGGCTCTGAGCAAGCCCGCTCTTTTCATTGCTTTTTCTTCCTTCAGCTCATTTATTATTGATTCAATGAATGCAGGGACGGGACGTCGTTCCAATCACATTCCCGCAATTGGGATAAATCTCGCTTCATTGACAAAGTACATTCTTTAATCTTGTTCTCAAACCCGCAAACGGTTCAACTCAATTCATCGAGAAATTGATTTCGAAACATGAGATGCCAAACCTGATCTGTTTCAAACAGTGAAACAGATCCTAGCCTGCCTCTGTCAACCCTGAATAAATGAATACAATCCTACTCCGTACTTTGGATCGAATTGATCATCTCCACCGTTCACCAGATCAGATTGTATCCGTACGCTACGAAAGGGTTGGATATTAGTTATCTCTTGTTGAAGGTAGTGTAGTTCGGCGGTTGAAGCCGTGCGCCATTCTCAGGTGCAGTTCGTGGCTGCTGACTTTTTGCACGGTTGATCATGACGGTTTCACCGACCCTCAGCCTCTGATAT